ATACTCTATAAGAAGATTAACTCAACATAGACCACACATTTAAGTTGAAATTCTAAAACTAAAATTTCCACTAAAAAAAAAGAGAAAGTTTTTGTGACCTTTGGTTAGGCAATGCTATCTTAGATATGGAACCAAAAGCACAATCCTTCAGGAGAATTAATTTTTTTTTATGTTTTATTTTTTAAATGTATTTAGTACAGGGCATATAGGGTCTCACTACACAGATCGGACTCGCAGTGATCCTACTGTTTTCAGCCTCCCGAGTGCTGGGATTACAGGTGTGCCACACCCAGTCTCATTCACTGTCTCAGCACACCCTGGGGGCAGGGCCGGCACTGCATGCTGGGGATCTCACTCCCTGGCCCCTGCATATGCCTAAGCAGGTGTTTGAATCTGCTGAGCTATCTGGCTGGCCCTTGATTGGGACATTTTAAGGTAGGCAGATGCAACTATGCTTCAAAAGATGTCCAGATATCATTAGTCATCAGGGAGATGTATGAAAACCACAATGAGTTTTTAGTGCATCCTTTGAGGTCTTCAAACAAATTAAAACAAAAAGAGAAATCCTGCTAATACCAAGTACTGACATATATAAGGTGCACCTGAAACATACGTGCTTTGCTTGCAGGTATGCAGAAAGGTTCCACTGCTTTGAAATCAAGTCTGACAGTTTCTTACAAATCTGTACTCTGAAGGAATCTAATCAGTTTAAGTATCATCACTCCTAGACATTTACTAATGATATTAAAAACATGGTCATAAAAAAGACCATTGGACTAAAATTAGAAATGAATTACAGAAACATATTTAAAATACTATGAATATGAGATTAATTTCCAGTTTTAAATGACACTTTTGGGCTGGGGAGATAGCTCAGTAGAATAAGTGCCTGCTTGGCAAGCCCAAGGTCCTGAATTCAATCCCTGGTACTGCCAAAAAAAAAAAAAAGACACTTTTCAAGTAGAAAGCTTGATTCAACATGAAGGATTTTACAACACATAGAATTGAGCATACAAGATATAAATGTTTCACAGACTCAGAAATCAGTGTTTTAAAAGAAATTAAGAACAATGAATGTACATATTAGAAAAGAGAAAAGATATCAACTTTAGAAAATTAGAGAAAATAGTGGCAATGTAAAAAATGAATATTACTCCCCATGGCAGATCATTTCATTGTTCAATATTCATGCAGAATATAAAAAATGGGAAAGAAAATGTTAAAGTATCAAAGACATCTTTAAAACTCGATCTAGTACATTATAATAAAATCTTTTAAAGAATCCTAAAATTACATGAATTGATAGAGAAAATACAAAAAGAGCAAAAAGTTAGGAACACATTAAAAGGAAACACAGAAAATAGCCTTCACTTGTATGTATCATTGAAGTATATTAGCAAAACTATAGTTTCAACAAGAAATTAATAGAATTAATAAGATACTGTAGGGTCCGCCAGATAGCTCAGCGGATTAAAGTGCCTGTTTAGGCAGACACAGGGGCTGAGGTTCAATCCCCAGCATGCCGTGCTAGACCCACGCCTGGGGTGCACTCAGAGGGTGACTGAGACTGGGCATGGTAGTGCACCCCTGTAATCCCAATGCTTGGGAGGTTTAAAATAGGATCACCACAAGTCTGATCTGTGTAATGAGATACTGTACTAAATACATCAAAACAAAAAAAAGCTTAATGGTAGACAGGAGTGGTGGTGTATGCCTGTAATTCCAACACTCTGGAAGGCTGAGGCAGGAAAAGCCAAATTTGTAGCCCAGCAGTAGCAACATAGCAATTTAGGAAGACTCTGGCTAGGGGTATAGTTCATTTAGAAGACCTAGATTCAATCCCCAGTACTGGACAAAAAATAAAAGATACTGTATCACAGACTATCTGCTACCGGAAAACATATTTTTGGGTATATATGTATGACATATAACCAATTGAACTGGACATGGTAAATAATGCATGTTAAATTCACAGTGGCCCTTTGTCATAAACTTTCAAAGCACATGTGTAAGAGCTATAAAAAGGGCAAGATAAAAGTATAAAAATATATTACATTGAAAACCATAAATTAAAAAAAAAGAAAACCATAATTAAGGTAAATGGTTCTACTTCTACTTCTGAACAAAATAAGAGAGACATATCTGTAAAGAATCATCTAAACACTTCTACATGAAGACCGGGGATATGGCTCGTAGCATAAGTGCATGCCTGCCAAGCACAGGGTCCCAAGTTCAATCCCTGGTACCAAAAAAAAAAGGGAAGAAAAAGACCAAAAGAAAAAAACATGAGTGTTTGTAGAAATTTTTAATTTCTTAGCTTCTGTTGACCCAGGTATATTTTTATTCTATCAAAAATTATGTTCAATATAATTGTTTTTCTTATGTACTTGGTACAGGGTCTCACCACACTCGGACTCAGTGATCCTCCTGTTTTTCAGTCTCCCCAGCGCTAGGATTACAGCCCTGTGACACCATGCCGGGTCTTCATGGCCAGCTCAGCATGCGCATGGTCGAGGCAGGCAGGGCAAGTGGTTCTGGGTATGGAACCCCAGAACTGAACTATAAACTTTCCCTACAATGGAGTATCTCTACCGGATTGTCCAACAGAAACCTAGAAAATTTTTCCACCATCCCAATGATGATATAGTAATCTCAATTAAAAATTCATTCCAATTCCAAAGAGTGGAAACCAGAACTTTTTTGCTTGATGAGATTATTAAGCAACAAATTAACTCCAAAACTCAACCCTGTGGACACCATGTAGGTAGTGATAAAAAGCAGGGCAATGCACTGCAGTTAATCACAAATGATCTGCTCAGCTCCCTCTTTTTTCTAATCTTTTATTTATTTATGTGTTTGGTACAGGGTCTCGCTACACAGCTCAGACTTTAGTGATCCTCCTGTTTCAGACTCTCCAGCACTGGGATTACAGGCGTGTGCCACCATGTGACATCTCAGTGGCCTGCTCAGCAACTGGGGCTGACACAGCATCCGGTACCTGGGATCAAAAGATAGCTCAGTGGACTAAAGCGCCTGCACAGGCAAGCTTAGGCTGGGCTGAGCTGGCCAGAGTCTGGGAGGAGTGCCACATGCCAGTAATCCCAGAGCTGGAGAGGCTGAAAGCAGGAGGACTACCATGAGCCCAAGCCGCGTAATGAGACCCTGAAACAACCAAATACATTTTTTAAAAAGTAAATAAATAAAATAATAATCTTTTTTTTTTTTCGGCTGGCTCAGGCTGCCTTACGGGCAGGTCTGGTAAGGCAGGTGGAGGTGGGGATCGAACCGCGTTGTCCTGTGCCTGACTGCATTTGCGTGAGCAGGCGCTTAAAGAACTGAGCTAACCGGCAGGCCCCCAAGTTAATAATCTTAAAATTAAAAACAATTTTAAGTCCTTAAAGTATCTTGTATATTCAACACAAAACTTCCCTCAAATGAGACAAAAGGGGAGCTGGTTAGGTAAGAAGTCTGTATCCCTCCCATTCAAAAGGTGACCCACACTCAGAAGGTTAAAATATATTTCCAAAGTTATAGGAACTTACTGGTGCCTATGCAGTCCATAGTAGCCCAATCACAGACAGGGAAATACGAAAAGTCAGAGGATTACAGGCGTGCACCACCCAGCCCAGTCTCAGCGAGCCCGGGGGTGGGGCTGGCAAAGCGTATGGTGCAGAGGATCAAACTCGGTCCTTGTGCTTGCCTAAGCAGGTGCTTAGTCCACTGATCTATCTTGCTGGCCCTAGCAGATCATAACTATGGGAATTTATCCCTACTTCATTACTTGCTCTATATAAACACATGAGTCCAGTTTCCTTTTTAAAACAATGTCTAGAAAAGGTTCACAAGCTACAAAGCAAGTGTTTTAGAGATGAGGCCTCTACCTTTCTGACTATACCAATATCAAAAGTTCACATCCCTGTAGATGCTCCAGTTCAGTGTATATATATCTCAGTGTGGGTCTGACAGGCCCTGCAGGAAGTAGTCTGAGCTGGAGCACTTTCCCTTCCTTTGTAATATATTAATCACCCCCTCCATGCTCCTCCTCATTCCAAATTCCTTGAGAAACCTCATTTCAATGAACTACGGGTAAAGAATAATTTCTTTACTTAGCTTACAAATAAGGCGGGTAGCTAGGGAAGGGCCTGAGAGAAGAGTTGGGAAATTAGCCTTTTGCATAAGAATTAAAATGAAAGTAGGCAATTACCTAGCAATTACCAAGAGTGGATTTTTTGCTCGACAAAGAATGAAGCCACCTCCTTACTAAAAGGAGTGGCAGCCACTCCCTACTAAGTTTCTGAGTCCCAGGAGTTTCATAAAAAATATACCGTTTCTATAAAATCCCGATTTGGTTTTAACAGTGCAAACTGAAAAAATGAGCCTGACAACTTGCGGGCAAAGTCACTGTTATAAATGCACAGAGCCTTCTCAGACAGGAGACCACAAAACAACTAAATATTACTGTGCTGTTCACCTACAAGAGGCTCTGGATCCAGAAGTCAGAGGCGACTCGCTGGGGACACGTCGGTGGTAAATCAGGGAGCAATTATTCTTACTCATAATAAAAATCTCTCCTACCATCCTTCTTTTGGTTTGCAGCTTCATTCCCAATAGTTACGAGGTCACGAGCTCTTTTGTAACACAACTGCAAAGGGCTCTCACGTACACAAAAGTCAGGAGCTTTTAACCGCTCTGTACGGAACCCATCCTTTACTCTAAAGCCGCTGCTCTCCAGACTGGCGTTACCTTCGTGCCAGCGGCTGACCAGGAAGATCATGTGGGCTGGCGGTGTTTGAGGCGGGACCGTGCGCTGGGAACAGCACTGTCCCTGCCTAAGCAAGAGAGAAAAACCGCTCCGATGCTGACGCAGCACCAAAGGCCTGGAAGACCTCAGTGTCTGGAGCTAAGCAGGAGGCTGTGCGATACCGGAGCTGGTTCTGACCATTTCCATTCCCAACACACCAGATTCCATCCCATCCCCAGCTCCCGCACCACAGCGCTACCATTGCGTGAGTTGATGGTCCCCGAGGATCCTTCCAATGCCGCTGGCAGCCAGTGGAAACTTCAGAAAATGTCGTCTGGTCAGCGGGAGCTGTCAGCTGCACAATCAAACCGTGCACTGCGACGCCATCACACAGGAAGTGCCCACCTCCCTCTCCTGGCCGGATTGGGTAGTTCAGACAGCCCGCGCCAGCATCGCTGATTGGTTGCTGCTCCTCTGTCACTCAGCTCAAAGGAGCCTGCGAGAGAAACTAATAGAGCGTGCAATTCTTAGCGATACTTTGTAACCCGGGAATTTGGGCATCAGTCTGTCTCCCACGCTTCAATCTCACCTCGCCTAAGAATACTTGCAACTGGGGCCGGGGAGATGGCTCTATAGAATATAAATGCTTGCCTGGTATGTTGTAGCTCAAAAATCAGATGACAAGGAGGCAAGTCCAAAAGTTAAAAGAAGCGCTTTATTTTAGCTGGTACCCAGCGGCAACACCCTGCACAAAGTGCCTAAGTGCTCGGGCGTTGACAAAGGTCAGTATTTGAGCTTGAAAACCGCAAAAACAGGGAAGGGGTGGAGAGGAAGATGTGGCAGGACCAAGACTTGAGTCACAGGGGTGAGGAATTGGGAGGAATAGTTCATTGAGATAAGGTTTGGGGAACAGATATCATAAGACTTGAGTCACAGGGGTGAAGAATTGGGAGTGGTCGGCGCATACAGAACAGGAACTCGGCGAGGTTAGAAGGGCAACAAAATGAAGTCAATTTTGACAGGGTATAACATGGTAAGGGCAAGGGACTGAGTTAAATCCTGGATTCCTGGCTCTTCTTGAAAATGAGTCACAGGGCCCATTAGCTCAGTCGATTAAGTGCCTGCTTAACCAAAGCAGTCAGGCTCAGGATGCTGTGGTTCGATCCCAGAACTCACACCAAAACAGACCTGCCCTGAAGGCGTTCTGAGAGCCCCCCCCCCCCCAAAAAAAAAAAAAAAAAAAAAAAAAACGAACATGAGTCACCCGTGTGCTGAGATTTGAGGGTCAGTGTTCTATGAAAGAGTCGCCTAAAGTAAGAAAACATTCTAAGGCCAGGTCAGGCCAGCACACATTAGCACAGAAGGAGGACCTGCTGTTGGGAATGAGACAGTCAGTTTCCTTGCCAAGATTTTCATATTGAATATATGGCCCATAAAAGAAATAACATTATTGTGTAAATGAAAAATTTAGCATGAGGGCAATATTCAGGCAAAAATTAAAAGTAGGGGGTGGGGAGATGGCTCCAAGGAATAAGCACTTCCCTGGCAAGCACAGGGCCTGAGTTCAATTCCCGGTTCAAAAAAAAATTAAAAGTAATGAACAGCAGGACAAAAACAGCATATTGAAAGCCACTAAAGAAAAGAAACAGATCACATATAAAGGAAAACCCATCAGAATAATGGCAGACTTCTCTTCACAAACCATGAAACCTACAAGAACATGGAGCAGAGCACTTCAACTCCTCTCTGAAAACAAATTCCAACCCAGATTACTATACAATGCAAAACTCTCTTTCAAGTATGATAGAGAAGTGAAATACTTCCATGACAAAGAACAACTAAAGAATTTCATGATGACAAAGCCAACCCCACACAGACTAATAAATGATGTTCTAGAGAAGAACCAAAATGATCAGAACTCCACAAACGAGAACAGAAGGAAACAACTACATAGGACAAACAATTAAACACAGGAGAAAAAGGAGTAAACAACAGCAGGTAAATAACATGTCGATCATAAGTCAACACATCTCAGTTATAACCATCAATGTAAATGGACTCAATTCACAAATTAAAAGAAATAGACTGGCACAGTGGATTAGGAAACAAAATCCAAAAATATGCTGTATACAAGAAACACTGAACTCATAAAGAAATTCATAGGCTGAAAGTCAAAGCATGGAAAAAAAAAAAACACTACATGCCACAGCAACTCAGAAAAAAGCAGGGGTAGCAATCCTGGTCTCAGACAGTCTAACTTCAACCTAATAATGATCAAATGAAATGAAGGCCACTATATACTGGTTAGGGGAAAAATTCAAAAAGAACAGGTAACACTCATATATGTATATGCACCAAACAGGGAGGCATCCAACTATATAAGACAAATGTTATTGGACATGAAAAAGCTAATATCCAAGACCACAATCTTAACAGGAGACCTGAACACCAAAAAAGATAGGTCAAGCAGTCAAAAAAATTAGCAAAACAGTAGCAGAATTGAACCAGAGATTGGAACTAATGGACTTAGTGGACATAAACAAAGTGTTCCACAAAATGACAGCTGAATATATTATTTTTTCAGCTGCGCATGAGTCATTTTCGAAAATAGACAACATACTAGACCGTGGGTCATGTTAGGTATATGCAAGAAAACAGGAATTATCCCATCCATATAATCTGATCACAGTGTAATGTAACTGGAAACAAATGACACAAGAAAACAGAAGAAGAATTTCTGCCTTCTTCTGGGAACCCCCAGACCCAGTCCTAGCCCAGGCCTGGTGAGTGTGTGGGAGAGCTTCCGGGTACCCTGCGCCGGTGGGACCTACTGGTCACAGCCCAGGTGCACCATGGGTGAAATCTTCCACCCCCTTGGGACACCCCCATCACTCCATAGTACCCACACACACACCCTGGCCGCCCAGTAGGAATTTCTGCCATGTTCCAGGAACTCCCAGATCCAGGCCTAGCCCAGGCCCGGTGAGTGTGTGAGAAAGCTGACTCTCCCCCCTACTCCACCTTGTCCCCTCCAGACGCACCTCAGGCCTGGCATACAGGCCTGGGTGAAACCCTGCAGCTGCAATCCCTGCAGAGAGTGTAGGGGACAGAACCACCCAGCAAGTCCAGGAGCAGAACATCTGGCCAGAGGAGCACAACAGGTTCACCCTCCAGGGCAGCAGCAGGAAAGAGCTGAGCACAACAGTGAGACCCAAGCCAGGCACAACAAAGATCTACAACAAAGATCAGAAGACAGTACTATACAAAATTATGAGAAGGAACAAAATGCAATCTCAGAACCCAAGCCCACCCATAACAAGTGCAGAGGACATTAACACAGAACAAATTGGGAATCACACAGCTGAAAGCAATGAATCAACAGCTTCTGAAATAAAGAAACAGCTGCAGAAAGGAACTCAGCTTGGAAATAAAAAAAGAAATCCCTGAATTAATAACATCTGCAGTAAAGAATCAAACAAAAAAAAAACTGCAGAAACATGGAGGAAAGCCAATGCCCAACGACAACAAGTGCAGAGGACACTAGCTTGGCTCAAATGTATGAATTAATAGCATTGATAGTAAATAAGCAACAGCAGAAAGTCATAGAGGATCTCAGAGTGGAATTATTTTCTATTAGTTCAGCTCAAATGTACAAATTAATAGCGTTGATAGTGAATAAGCAACAGCAGAAAGTTATAGAGGAATTCAGAGAGAAATTATTTTCTGAAATAAAAAAAGAATTCTCAGAAATCATAGCACCTGAAGTAAAGAAGCAACTACAGAAACATAAGGAGGAAACACAATCTAAAAAAAACTGCAGTAAAAGAATTTATAACTGCAACTAAAGAAGACATTGATTAAAAAAAATAGAGGACTCTAATGACAGATTCCTTGAGTGAGCAATACAGGAAAGAAATAGATCGCATGAAGCAGAGTAAAAGATATAGAGGAAATTAAAATCTGAATCACAAGCTTGCAAAACCATTTAAGTGAAAGTGAAGACAGAGTTTCAGATCTTGAAGTTGCTGGTGCAGCTAGTGAAAAGGTAAGAAAGGATCTGTTCAAAACAACTATGATACAGGAAAGAATAATCCATCACCTGCAAGATTATGTAAAGAAAAACAATGTGAGACTAATAGGCATCAATGAGAAGGAAGGAGTCAATAAAATGACGTTTAAAAATATGGGCAGAAGTAATAGCAGAAAACTTCCCAAATATGAGGAAACAATCTGACATTAAGGGAACCGAATAATTCAGAATGCCAAGTAACCTCAAGCCAATGAAAAACACACAGAGACATATAATACTCAAGATCCCAGAAACTCAGCACAAGAATAATATATTGAAAGCTGCTAGAACAAAGAAGGACATCACATAAAAAGGAAAACCCATGAGAATTACAGCTAACTTCTTTTCACAAACCATAAAGGCAAGAAGAGCAAGGAGCAGAGTAATTCAAATCCTCTATGAAAATAAATTCCAGCCCAAACAAACTACTATACCCTGCAAAACTCCCTTTCAAGTTTCATGGAGAAGTGAAACACTTTCATGACAAAGAACAGCTAGAGAATTTCATAATGACAAAGCCAACCCTACACAGACTCCTGAAAGATGTTGTAGAGAGGGACCAAAAACATCAGAGCTCCATGAATGAGATCAGAAGCAAAAAACTAAATAGGGCAAGCAATTAACACAGGAGAAAAAGGACTAAATGACAACAGGTAAATAACATGTCAATCATAAGTCAATACATCTCAATTCTAACAATCAATGTAAATGGACTCAATTCACCAATTAACAGAAATAGACTGGCACAGTGAATTAGGAAACAAAATGCAACAATATGCTGTATACAAGAAACACATCTAACTCATAAAGATATTCATAGGCTGAAAGTCAAAGGATGAAACACAATACTACATGCCCCAGCACCTCAGAAAAAAGCAGGGGTAGCAATCTTATTCTCAGACAGTCTCAACTTCAAATCAATAATGATCAAGAGAAATAAAGAAGGTCACTTGTTAGGGGAAAAATTCAAGAGGAAAAGGTAACATTCATAAATATGTATGCACCAAACACGGGAGCACAAAACCATAAAAAGCAAATCTTAATGGACATGAAAAATCTAATATCCAGTACCACAATTTTAACAGGAGACCTTAACACACCCTTATCTCCAAAAGATA